CGCAAGCAGCCGTCCTCAGGTGAAGACCAGCAGCCGTGCTCAGGTCTTCACCTGAGGACGGTTGCTTGCGTTGTGGCCGAAACGTCGTGAGAATTATTTTATTATTTTTTCTTTTATTATTTCCATTCTATGTGAATTTACCGAAAGCACCAAGAAGATGAATCCCTGCAGTCACGAAAGCTTTAAATCGAAAAATAAAAAGTTTCGTTCAAAGTTAATAGTTGTTTCTCAACCTTCTGAACACCCAGTGCAATCTCCAACTCCGAATCAGTCTCCCTGCCCTCTCTATGCTGAAAAAGGGCAATCGCCTGAAACGTCAGCCCGTTATATATATATGCATTCTCTTATAAGGCAGTGGTTCCTAACGGTGAGAGTGGTCAAGTTTTGTTTTCGCTTGTGCACCGCAACCCAACGCAGTCCCATGTATTCGTTGATATGTTTGTTGTTGTAGTTGTTGTAGATTGTCTTCCTCTGTGACCTTGGCACGCGGTCTCGTTGCCACAGCTGCGCCCGTATCTTAGCCTTGTCCAATCATCAGAATCCGAATATTTATTTATACTGTAGGAGGAGGAGGAATCCGATGAGCTAGAAAGCGCTTTTATTTTTCAAACATGTGACCATCCACACGCTCCACGCGTTGCTCGCAAACAGCCACCACCGTATCAAGGGGTAACTTTAAAAAAATGTGTTTGACCCTTTCTGGCGATTAAAAAAAACAATTATCATTTTTTATGCTTTGATACAGCTGCTCACCCCGAGCTATAAATGCTCTGATACGTCTGGCATTGTCCTTGTGCTGTTCGCGTTTTGGCGTTGTCGTCTGGTCTGACACTGGTGGTGGTGAGACTTGCTCCTACAGAAGGCTGGTGTAGGCCAATCCATTTCAAAGACAATGCATCATTTTTTATCAGAGCATTGTTTGCATCTAGATTTGAAGTTTTCGTGACTGCAGGGATCCATACTCATCTTTTTGGTTCTTTCGGTAAAGTCACGTAGAAGGGAAATAATAAAATAATACAAATAAAACATAATAAAAAAATGTTTTATCATGTTTTATTTATATTGTTTAAAACATAATAAAATATTAATTTTATTATGTTAATATCTCATTATTTTATTATTTCCCTTCATCGTGACTTTACCGAAAGAACCAAGAAGATGAATCCCTGCAGTCACGAAAGCTTTAAATCGGGATCCATACTCTTTTGGTTCTTTCGGTAAAGTCACGTAGGTAGAAAATAGAATAAAATTAACTCACGACGTTTTGGGCAAAACACAAGCGTCCGTCATCAGGTGGGACCCCCCCCCTCCCTCTCTATTTCTCCCCCCTTGCTCCTCCCCCCTCTCTTACCTATATATATGGCCTCTTGCCACGGCAGCCCCTTTGCCCACTTCAGCAAAAGTTTATTGCTGTGGTTGCCCCACCTGATGTCGGACGCTTGTGTTGCGCCCGAAACGTCATAAGTTGATTTTATTTTATACCTACGTGACTTTACCGAAATAACCAAAGAGTATGCATTGTTTACATGTTCGCAACACGTCCTGTGTGTGTGGTTGATGCAGTAACACGTTTACATGCGAAAGGTATCATCTATTTGGTGTTCGACCATCTTAACACAACTCCTGTTTAATTTCGATTTAAAGCTTTCGTGACTGCAGGGATTAATCTTCTTTGTTCTTTCGGTAAAGTCGCGTAGAAGGGAAATAATAAAATAATAAAAATAAAACATAATAAAATAATTCTCACGACGTGTCGGCCACAACGCAAGCAGCCGTCCTCAGGTGAGTGGTAGTAGGAGACTTGCAGCGGAGCAAAAATCCATTCCCTGCGGAGAATACAGGATATATAGTCAATGCCAGTGAGGGCATTGACTGTACTGCTTACCGCAGTCCACTAAATGGCATTGACTATATATCCTGTTTTATTGCCAGAAAGGGTAAAAAAAAACACCTATTCTTAATTTTTGTCATAGCCACCGCCATGTTCTGCATTCCAAATGGCAGCGATTAGAGGCACACTTTTGTGGGTCCTTGCAGCCCAAAGTTAAATGCTTCCTCTCTCTTACTTCGGGGGCCACTCATTGAACGCGCGTGCGTAATCGTGGTTTTCTTGTTCAACGTCTGCCGACGGCATTTCTTTAAGTACAGTGCGTTATTGAGTTGTTTATTTTGGTTTTGTTAATTTATGTTACGGACGGTTTTTTTGGTGGGGGAGGGGAGGTTGGGGGTTGAGAATTAAAACGTGGCGCTCACTGGGCCATGGCGTGAAATTATCCCAACTACGCAGCAAAAGCTTCCCTGCATTTCGTCCTTTGCTTTGTCCGTTTAAATTCACTTCTCTTTAAGGTCAATGTAAGGAATAAGAGTGTTACACTAAGTATGAATGGTGTGTGTCAGTGAGGAGCGGTGGTGCAGCCGTTAGCGCGCTGCGCTACAAGCCTGGCGAGCCGGGTTCGATTATCGCTAACAGCCAAAGCCAGCGGTCCTGGACCTCCCCTAGGTCGACTCAGCATCAAATGAGTACCTGGTGCGGTGTGTAAACATCGCTACCGAGAAGACAAAGGCGGCCGGGCGTGGTGCTGGCTACCCACCCCCTCGTGTTCCGTGCCGTGCTTGCTAACAGCACTTGCCCCAGCAGTCTGTTAAGGCTATGCGGGGGATCTTTGTTTTTTGTGTGTGTGGGTTCCCAGCCTGTGGAATGCACACTTAAGAAGCGAATAAGTTAAATTCCGAAGTGTTGCATGAAATACCTTTGGCGCCCTGTGTCAATTCGGAGACATACCGAGATGTGTGAATGCGGTGGAATTTTTTTGACCGGGGCAAGTCGGGCGACCTGGAGAAAGGTCAACTCTGTGGTCAACTGAGTACCTGGTGGAGTAAAGCAGTCGATCGGCCGGCTCTATCGCAGGTGAGAGAGAAAGCCAGGTGAGATAGGAAGCCAGGTGAGCTGAATCGGCGTCACTGAGATCCGGGGTTTGATGCCGGGTTTAAGCCGCCCGTGTCAGCGAGATGATGGGATCAGGGCGGTCACTAATGACAAACAAAGACAAAGATCTCCCGTATAGCTTGAACAGACTGTTGGGGCAAGTGCTGTCAGCGAGCACAGGTGAAGGCCGGCACGGCACACGAGGGGGGTGGGTTGCCAGCACCACGCCCGGCCGCCTTTGTCTCCCCCAGTGGCGATGTTTACACACCGCACCAGGAACTCATTTGAGGCTTAGTCGACCTAGGGGAGGCCCAGGGCCAGTTCAGATAATCGTCACCGGTGTTGGTCGTGAGCGGGAATCGAACCCGCGTCGCCGAGTTCATAGCGCAGCGTAGCGCTAACCGCTATACCACCGCTCCCCTCACTGCTGAACACCAACACACAAACCACGATGACTTAAATTTCGATTTAAAGCTTTCGTGACTGCAGGGATTCATCTTCTTAGTTCTTTCGGTAAAGTCACGTAGAATGGAAATAATAAAATAATAACATAATACAAATAAAACAACACTATGACTTTATAAGAAAATTTTAAAAAATCACCTAATTGTATTCATAAATTCCTGTCCTCAGTATAATTCAAGCAGGTTTTGACCCACACGCTCTGAACGTTACTGGCGATTCCAGCGAGTGTGGGACAGCGCAAGCCCCCTCCCCTCCCCCCCAGCTAGCCGGAGGCTGCAGGTGATTGAGATATCTACGGCACCCGCCCAGAGCTGGCTTCACCGTGAGAAATGAATCAACCCCCCCCCTCGACAGAGCTGGGTGGGGGTATAGTCTGAGTGTGACCCGGACTCATCCTCGTGTGAATATCCAGCCCGCGTGTGCGTGTCAGCGCCTGCCAAAGTCTGCACTTGCCACGGCATTTATTTACTTGTGGCCAAATGGAACATCGTTGTGCGTCTGTGTGTGTGTGTCTGTGTGGTGGCTTCGTTCGATGTGGGTTTTTTTCGTGGTTTAATGGTACTTGGCATAGTAGGGGGCACAGGTGGTGCATCGGCCGGTCATCTCAGTCAGTCGACCCGTGGCACCAGGGTCTGACCCGTGACCTCCTGCCAGCGGGCGTTCGACACTTCACGTGGCCTCAACGTGCACGTAGCCTGGCACAAGCGTCGTGGTGACGTCACCGCCACTTAGTGGCGAAAGGCGCTTGTTGTTGTGTGGTGGCGAGGTGGTTGGCGCGCTGCGCTACGGACCCGGCGACCCGAGTTCGATTTCCGCTCACGGCTAACACCAATTGACGACGATCTGAACCGGTCATGGGCCTCCCCTATTTATCTCGACGGGTGTCTATGCAACTCTATAGACATCCACGAGTCTCTCTGTAAAATCTACGAGCATTTATATAACTCTATGCGACTCTCTGCAACTCTATGGATCTCTATGAGACTTTATGTAACTCTATGGGTCACTCCCTGACTGGATCTCTATGAGTATTTAAGTAACTCTATAGGTCTCTATCTAACTCTATGGGTCTCTCTGAGTCTCTATGTAACTCTATGGGTCTCTCTGAGTCTCTATGTAACTCTATGGATATCTATGAGTCTCTCTGTAAACTCTATGAGTATCAATGGGTATCTCTGTAACCCTGTCTCTCAGTAACTCTATGGATCTCTGTGAGTCTCTATGTGACTATGTTGATCTCTGTGAGTCTCTATGCATCTCTGTGGCAACTCTATGAACCTCTACGAGTCTCTGTGTAAGTGCGAAGTCCTCGTAACCGCGTGGTTTGCTGAAAGCCAGTCCGGCTTGCTTCATCAGCCGTGAATAGAAAGTTTCATTTTTTTTCCCAGCCCACAGGATTATGCAGTGGCCCAGTTTTAGTGCAACGTGGCATCTGGAGGAGAAATAAAGAAAGGGGGATAAGAAGAAGAATAAAAATCATGGGGGAAAAATTATTTGCGAGAGGGAGAGGGAGTGTGTGAAAGGAGAGAGAGAGAGAGCTACAGAGAGAGAGAGTGTGTGCGTGTGTGTCAGCTGACTTTGTCCGGAGGGCATTCGCTTCAGACGGGTGGCTCCGCTGTGCGTGAGTGCTGCAGCAGCAGCAGCAGAGGCGGCGCTGCGTGGAGGTGGTGGCAGGGGGAGCATTCCAGGCGCGGAGAGTTGAGCAGCGCCTACCCCGTCCGTCCCGTGCGGTCCTGCGTGAGTGGAGCGTTGCTCTCTACACACTCACTCACTGTTCTCTTACACACTCACTCACTGCTCTCTTACACACTCACTCACTGCTCTCTTACACACTCACTCACTGCTCTCTACACACTCACTCACTCATCTCTTACACACTCACTCACTGCTCTCTACACACTCACTCACTCATCTCTTACACACTCACTCACTGCTCTCTTAGACACTCACTCACTGCTCTCTTACACACTCACTCACTGCTCTCTGGCGCACTCACTCACTGCTCTCTGGCGCACTCACTCACTGCTCTCTACACACTCACTCACTGCTCTCTTACACACTCACTCACTGCTCTCTTACACACTCACTCACTGCTCTCTGGCGCACTCACTCACTGCTCTCTTACACACGGCTCTCTACTCACTCACTACCCCCTGCCCACTCACTACCCCCTGCCCACTCACTGCCCACTCACGCACTGCCCACTCACTGCCCACTCACGCACTGCCCCCTGCCCACTCACTCACTGCCCACTCACGCACTGCCCACTGCCCCCTCGCCTGTCTCTCCTCGAGCGACGCTCCTCGGCACCCGCCTCTCATCTTACCGCCGGACGCGCGAGTTGACGCCGAGTGGATCACGTCAAGGCAGACAAGACTCCCCGTACCACGGCAAAGTGTACGACCGAAGACAGTTTATAAATATATGTGATATATATTAACATAAACCTATAGGGCTCCTCTAGCAACGTGGAACAGTCAAGCCTAAAATGCGTCGTTGTCAGAAGATGCTCAATTGATTTGCCAACTTGTTGTTGTTGTTGTTGTTCCTGGCCTCCGCGTCGCCACTGCTGTCTTCTCAAATCTACAGCGTCAGTGACCATCTTCACGCGACTCCTCGAACTGTGCCGATGCCCACGGCAGTTTCCTCCGTGAGCTCTGCTGTTGTGTTTTTGTCGGAAGCCGGCTGAGAGATTTCCCGTTGTCGCCTCGCAGTGACTTTGCCCTCGCTGCTGTCGCTTGAGCCACATGGCCAAACGCCACCGCCGATTGGCGCGGTCGGCTACGTGCGGCGCGATTGAGGTCCAACGTCTTGGCCGAGATCGTCCGCGGATATAACCCCCGGGAGTCGCCTTGCGCGGATTCCTTCGTGCGTCCTGAGACCGCTCCGAGGTGAGTGGTCCTCCACTGCTCGCCGTCACGAGTCACCCACCAAGTCGCGACGAATGGCACAAAGCAACAACCGGTTGGGCGAGTTCACTTTCGCACGCGGTTTTTTTTGTGTGCGCACAGAGTGTGCGCTCAAACAACAGGGTCAGGCTTTGCAATGCGGCGGCGTTTCGTTCGCAAATCCCCCGGCGTCCAGAGTTCGATTCGCGCTCACGGCCGACACCCACTGACGATTATCTGAACCGGGCCCTGGGCCTCCTCTAGGTCGACTCAGCCTCAAATGAGTACCTGGTGCGGTGTGTAGTAAACATCGCCACTCGGGAGACAAAGGCGGTCAGGCGTGGTGCTGGCCATACACCCCCTCGCGTGCCGTGCTGGCCTTCAAAGCTAACAGCACTTGCCCAAACAGTATGTTAAAGCTATACGGGGGATCTTTGTCTTTTATTTTTGGTGGAAAGTGGCGAGCGGCAGCGTGGCGGGAATGGAACCCGGCGACTCGAGTTCGCTTCCCGCTCACGGCCAACACCCAGTGGCGATTATTTGCACCGGTCCTAGGCCTCCCCTAGGTCGACTCAGCCTCAAACGAGTACCCGGTGCGGTGTGTAAACATCGCCACTGGGGAGACAAAGGCGGCCGGCTGTGGTGTTAGCCACGAACCCGGCCACCAGAGTTCGATTCTTCCGGCTCACGGCCAACACCGCTACGCGATCATCTGAATCGCTCCTGGTCCTCCTCCCCTAGGTCGACTCAGCCTCAAAATGAGTATCTGTTGCTACGTGTAGTGAACATCGCCACTGGGGAGACAAAGGCGGCCGGGCGTGGTGCTTGCCACGAACCCCCTCGCGTGCCGTGCCGGCCTTCATAGCTGCTGCTCGCGAACGGCGCTTGCGCCCAACGGTTCGTTCAGGCTACACGGGGGTGAATCTCGTGTCTTTAATGGTGACGACAGCTTGACAAGAGAAGAGTGTTCCACCTTCAATGGGAAATCTCCGGCCGTGGCCCTCCACGGCTTGTCTGGCAGGGCCCATTCGCGTTCGCCCTCCGCTCTGTGGCTCAGAGTGGAGGCATTCTGCTCGAGCGGCGCTCGCGAGAGAAACTCGCCGACGCCATACGCACAAAGGGTTCCCTTTATCGAGTCGTCGTTCGGCTCGCGGTGTAATTATCTACTTACTCTGCAATGTGCGTGCGTGCGTGCATGACTCGCCGGGGGTCTTAGGATAGATGCGCTCGTGCTTTTTATGAAATTCAAATCGGTTGTCGGTGCGTGACAAGATATTCTATGGGGTGAGTTTTTTGTTTTGATGGTCGAAAAGTTAATTTCATAGCCGGGTCAACTCTATCCCACGATTACAACTTGGAAAACTTGCTTAAAGTAGAATTTTCGTCGTGGATCAAGATGCTGCTGCTGATGATGATAGTCGCTTTCTTGTTGTTCCACGTGGCATCTCTAGCTCGAAGCAACTGTTCCCGTGAGCCCCAGGCATTGAAATTGAGCCTTGTGCATTGACACCTCCGATTAGCACGTTTGGCTCCGCACTGTGCAAAGGAATCTCAACGTACATGCACAAGGAGTTCACACACGTGTGTCTGCTGCTCTCTGTGAACCGCAGTGTCACTCGTTATCAGTGTGTGACCGCGTAATGGATTGCTCTTCAAAAAGCGCGTGCTCCTTTAAAATGTGAACGTCAGCTACAAGTGTATAAATGTGACTGTATTATAACGTGTTGTATTACGTATGCATGTTGACATTCTTTCGCACGCAGCCTACGTAGCCAGCCGGAGATGTTCACTGGGGGGTGTCAACGAAGGTCATAAAGAAGTCAGGAGTCAATGACTTCATCTGTTTGAATGCGTCGCGTCTGTCGTGGTGCCGTTCAACGGCGGGAGGGGTGTTAAATGAAAACAGATGAAGGTCGTTGCCGATTTATTTATTTATCTAATCACCTGTCCAGGGAAGCCTCGAGACTTTGCACATTGACGGTCCCGCATCACCATCGGGCACGTTTGACCAATTAATTCTCACGAGGAATTGTCAACTTCTTGGTTCTTTCGGTAAAGTCACGTAGAATGGAAATAATAAAATAATACAAATAGAACATAATTTAATAATTCTCACGACGTTTCGGCCACAACGCAAGCAGCCGGCTACTTAGAATGGAAATAATAAAATAATAAAAATAAAACATAATAAAATAATTCTCACGACGTTTTGGCCACAACGCAAGCAGCCATCACCTGATGACTGCTGCTTGCGTTGTGGCCGAAACGTCGTGAGAATTATTTAATGTTTTATTTGTATTATTTTATTGTTTCCATTCTACGTGACTTTACCGAAAGAACCAAGAAGATGAATCCCTGCGGTCACGAAATCCTTAAATAGAGGAATTGTCATTATATATATATATATTTTCAATTATTTCAAATGTAGCGTCGCCGGAGCGAACTGAACTCCTCAAACTCGACCAAAGCGACGAATTCGACGCCTAACGGCGACCTGAGCGAGGCCGTCCCCCCCCTCCTTCTCGTTTCCGTATGAGCCTGGCGAGTCGATGAGACGGAGGCCAGGGGGCTAGGGGGCCGCTCTCTGCCTCGCGCGCCACTCGTGATTGCTCCCAGCAGGGCCACGTTGTTGTGACTTCGTGAATTCCGCACGCGGTGATTTGTTTTCTTTGAGGGTGGGGGGTTGTGCATGGGGGGGGGCTGGATGAAGGTGAGAGCCGAGGCAAAACCTCAAACCTTCCTCCCGCCCCACCCACCGCCCTCACACAGACAACAAAGACAAAGATCACCCGTGTAGCCTTAACAGACTGTTGGAGCAAGTGCTGTGAGCGAGCAGCACCTATGAATGCCGGGACGGCATTCATAGGGGTTGGTGGCTAACACCACGCCCGGCTAATTTAAGGCTGAGTCGACCTAGGGGAGGCCCACGACCAATTCAGATATTCGTCACCGCTCGCAGCCAATATTCGTCACCGAGCGGGAATCGAACTCGGGTCCGCGAGATTCGCAAAGCAGCCTGCTAACAACTACACTGCTCACACCCACGCATGCACACACACGTGCATGTGTATGGAGAGCGATAGTGTAGCGGTTAGCACGCTGCGCTACGAACCAGGCAGCCCCGATTCGATTCCCGATCACGGCTAACACCGGCGACGATTATCTGAACCGGTCCTGGGCCTCCCCTAAGTCGACTCAGCCTCAAATGAGTACCTGGTGCGGTGTGTAAACATCACCATTGGGGAGACAAAGGCGGACCGGGCGTGGTGCTGGCCACCCACCACATGTGTGTGCCGTTGCCGGCCTTCATAGGGTGGTGCTCGCTAACAGCACTTGCCCCAACAGTCTGTTTAGGCTATACGGGGGATCTTTGTCATTCCACGTGTGCGCACAACTGTATCCGTTTTTTTCTACCCAGCCCAAAACTGTACCAAAAGGGGCCCCTTTTTCTGGTTGTTATTTTTTTTTCTCTCTCTCTCGTGCTCTGTTGGCAGCAGCATGCTCCACAGAGAATCACAGCAGTGTGGTGGAGGTGCGTTCGCCCCCCCCCCCCCACCCTTGTGAGCGGAGGCCGGTTCCTTAGCCCAGTAGCAAAACAAAAAGTCGGCTGCGAGAGAGAAAACTTCAGCCGCGGATTATTTTTTTGTACGCCACCAAAACGTGATGGAATTTTTTTTTTGGGAGGTCAACTAAAAAAATATTAAGCCGTGATGTCACGACGCAGAGGAGAACTGAGAGGTTATTTAATACGTAACAAAAATACGGGCTATGTGGAGCTGGCCGGATGATTCAGACGTTGCAGACGCTGCTTAAATGCCCCAATTCAGGACTCGAATAAGATTTCTTGAGGCTCAGTGAGGCTCTCATATCGAAATAAATGACACAATTGTAATCTTGATTTGAAGCTTTCGTGACTGCAGGAGTCCATACTCTTTGGTTCCATTATTATTTTTCAACCTACGTGACTTCACAGACATAATTGCAATTATATTATTATTATTTTTAAATCGGCAACGTCTTTCTGGTGTCACCGCTGCTAATACATTTGCGGAGATCGCTGGTGGCCAGGTGGAACACGGGGCCAGAGCGTTGAGCCAGCGCTGGTGAGAACCTGGGTTCGAATCCAAGTTTCAGCCGCCTAGGAGTAAGCTGAGTTCTCAGGCGTAGCGAGTTGGTGCCTCACTATTTGGTTCTGCACTTACCTTAACTAACCTGTCCAGCTCCCAAGCTTTGGAACGTTTTTGCCTTTGCAAATAAGATACAATCAGAATCGTTAGAGATGTATGTAAGTCCATCTGGAAAAATCGCATCCTTACATCGACCTTTACCCCCCACCTAGTTCTTAGCCGTTTAACCTCGTTCTGAGCGAGCGAGTGAGTGGGTGGATGCGTGAGTCGCTGAGTGAGTGGGTGGGTGAGTGAGCGAGCGAGTGGGTGAGTAAGTAGCTGAGTGAGCGAGCGGGTGAGCGAGTGGATTAGTGAGTGAGCCATGAGTGAGTGGCTGAGTGAGCGAGTGGGTGTGTGGGCGAGCACGTGGGTGAGTGGGTGAGCGAGTGGGTTAGTGAGTGGCTGACCGGGTGGGTGAGTGAGTGGGTAAGTGAGCGAGTGGGTGAGTGGCTGAGTGAGCGAGTGGGTGATTGAGCGAGCGAGTGGGTGGGTGAGCATATCTGTCAATCCCTTGCCAGTGCCTACCTTGCTACAGACCAATTTAGACCTTATTGGTCACCCCATGCCCTTATAAAGCTCAACGTTCATCTTACAAAGTCCCATCACACGGGAGAAACACAAACAAATAGACCAGAAAATGTTTACTCAAATCCCCTGTACAAAAATACGGGTAAACCGTATGAGTTCACAGGTATGGGAAAGTGAGCGAGTGGATTCGTGGGTGGGTGGGTAGGTAGGTGAGTGAGTGGCTAGGTGAGTGAGTTTGGAAGTGAATGGCTGAGCGGGTGAGTGCATGAGTGGGTGAGCGAGTGCGTAAGTGGGTGAGCGAGTGGGTGA